TTTATACTTACATCAAGGTATCCAACACTAAGTGAACAGTTAGTCGTTATAACAACTCTTTTTGAGAAAATTTAGAAAATGTAATGGATAACAATATGAATATAATTTTTGTAAACACCACAACGTTGTGAAGTTGACAATAAGCAGGTTCAATGATGAGAATTTATCACAGACTGTTATATTACTGTCTTTGTCTGATGTATTATTAAATGTTGGACAAGCTGCTTAATTTCAACATTTTATAGTCTGTGAGTAGAAATGAGACAAAATTTAAAAATAGTTTGTGAATAATTTCATACATGTGCAAAGATACAGCGAATGAACTGTACTTCAAACTGCGAATATGGGTTACCTAAAATGGAAAAATGCTATTAAATAACATTTAATACATGAAGGGAGTATACAACTTACTTTCGGGTCTCCTTTCCTCTTGTCAGGTCTAATACTTTTAACTAATTCAACCTTTTTAAAAGATTTGAAGAACCAATGATCCAAATACTCGACTGTGTATGGTCCAGGTTTCTTCCTTGCAAGTGTGGAAAAGTGTGCACACTCTGCAAGTATATTAATCTTATTATTCTTTACGCGATGCTCAATGGTAGAATGCATTGCATCTACCTCTATATTGCGTGTGCCCAACCTATAGGTATTTCTGTATAATAACTTATGTTATATATTTTTGCCAAATTCACAGCTGCGTTGGATAGTACAGCGTTACGGTTTTGATATATACAACCATCGCAATACATAATAATTTTTGGGTTTTGCTCACTTGGATGGTATTGCATAGTTTTCCATAAAATGATGAAAGCAGAAGGTAGATAATCCTCCCTCTCTCTCATTCCATATATAACAGTAGACATCTTTTGTATGTAGATTAAAAAGACAAAGGTTGTACACACATAATTTAGTCTTATAATATAAACTACTTATATTATATTTTGGCGCCATCAGAACTGCTTGAAGGTCTGCTTTATTATTGGAATCATTTTGTTGTAATTTGTACATAGTTTCAGAAACATGGTTATGCTTGTAAGCAGCACACAGCCCATATTTATCCTTTTTAGACCAGAAAAGACGTTTAGCTTTACGTTATTGAACGTAAGCCTAGACAATGGATCTATATTTTTTAAATGACATCAATCGTTAACGTAAAATTGATATAGTTCTGGTTTTGAAGACCACTCTGATAATTTTTGCTCGTAGAAGCTCTACAATAATATGACTCCATACAAGATAGAGGATTAAAAAATCATTCAATTCTGTATTTTCGCTTTCAAATGGATTTTTACTGCTTAAGTCGATTTTATAGTATTATCTACAAATCCTTTTTTTTTTACCCAGCTTAAATTCCAGAAATACTTGAATATTACGTTTCTCTCTTCCTCACAAATTTTATTACATTTACGTAATCTATTTTCTTTGGTCTTGCACCAACATGTTTCTTTTAATTCTCGTGGTGTTTTCTCCATATCATACATCATTAGCAATGAAATAATTATTTTTCTTATGACGTGTTAATTAAACAATGAAATACACTTACCTCTCTATAAAGGGGTTTGTGGGATGGTGTATGAAGGTATAAAAATTCAGAATCCGCTAAAATGTCATTTTAGGTAAATAACGGAGTTAGCAGGTTAACACTCTTAACCGACGATAAGTTATATGCCTCAAATATAGGTAGACATAGCTGTGGACAATACATTTTTATTAAATTATTTTATGGATTCTACTTTTTTTTTTTTTTTTTTTAATGGCCTTGGCCATTCTACAATTTTTAATTTATATATAAAACACAAACGAATGAATATTTGTTTTGTTTGATATTAATTGCAGTTAATTATTACAAATGTCCATTGGTACGTTAACAAATAGATTTGGCAATCCTCAAACTTTAGTCACTTTGAATCCCGGTGTTATCAGATTTCCTGTTTTAACTCTTGTTGTCTGTTGGTAGTACAACGTTTTCACCGCTTCAATTAATTATATATTTATATTTGTTTTCCTCAGTGCCTCCCATAATTTATCAAGCAGGACACTGTCATATGCTTTCCTAAGGTCTACGAACGTCAGGTGGACTTCTTGACCACAAGCAACTTTCTTTTCCATTATCTGAGTAGTAGTAATATGATCTATTGTAGAACGACCTGCACGAAAACCAGCCTGTTCTTCGGCTTCCATATTTTGGTATTCTTCTATTTGATTTTTTATTATTTTCCCATATATTCTGCTAATACTACTAGTAGCTGCAATTCATCTATAGTTTTCATGTTTCGATTTATCTCCCTTTTTATGGATGGTGCTCATATGCAATTCTTTCCATTCCTCAGGTATTTCATGTTTATTTATGCATTCCTAGAAAAGTTGTCATAGCCGTTGAATTAGTATTTTGTGTCCATGTTTGATGAGTTCCGGAGCTACAGTTCCTGGGCCAGGTGATTTGCCATTCTTTAGATGTCTGCAAACGGTTTCGACTTCTCTCTCATTTATTCTGATTGGGGATCCTATCAGCTTGACGCCTTGTAGACCATAGTTCTCTAGCTGTTTGAAGGGTTCTCTTGTCTCTGTTAGGAAATCTTTAAAGTATTCTTCCCAAGTTTGCGGTGATATGGACTGAATAATATCTCTTTTTCTGTTGTTTCTTAAATTTTTTAACAGCTAAAATTATTTAGCATGGTGCACTTTTTTTCCTAAGATTCATTTTTCTTTTGGCATATTTTTCTTCTGGTCATCGCTTGCATTCTTTTGTATTCGATTCTTATATAGGCTTCTAACACTTTCTTGGTCTAAACTATTCAAATTGTATCGTACTTTGTGTGGTTATCTTGCGGCGTTTTCTGTTCTGTTTTATGTGGAAATGAAATATCTGAACGTAGGAAGTAGTGGTCACTGCCGCAAGTAGGTCCTCTACATGCGCTTACGTCTGTTGTTTTCAGTCGACTTTTTTGTTTGAGGATGACATGTCTATAACTGATTTTAAGTTTCGGGTTTCTTGAGTCCACATATATTTATGATGGAAATTTCCATTCATGATTCTGAGTCCATTCTGATCGCATATATCCATTAACCTTTCTCCGTTATTGTTCGTATTATCTTCTCACATCTACCTACTACTTTATCGTTGTTCTTTTTTCCGACTCTGCTGTTGAGGTCTACCAAGATTATTATTTCTCTTGTGTTACCCACCTTTGTGATTTCTTCATTCAGTTGTTCGAAAAAGTTATCTTTCACTTTTACAATAGCATCGTCATTGATTACATATATTCCCAGAATGGTCAGTCGGTATCGTTTTATAATTCATTTTTATCATTTTTTCGTTGATGGCTTCCCATGATCTGATGTATTTTCTGAAGCGACGGTGTATCATAATGGAGACTCCTCGTTGAGCTCTATTTTCTTTTGTGACTTCGCTGTAGAAATGATCGTATTTACCTAGGTTTTTCGATCCTTGACCATTCCGTTTGGTTTCCTTAATAATAGCTATGTCTATCTTTATTTTGTTTAGTTCTTCTAAGATTTGTAGAGCTTTCTTTGAGATCCCTTAGATGTTCCATGTCGCAAAAATCATTTTCCTGTTTCGTAGCATTTTCGTCGTCGTATACCAGTCCGGTTCAGAGGCTGGATTTTGGAGTTTTTACCTTTACCATTTTTGACGAGTATCGAGTGGTTAACCCGATGCTCCAACCCCCAAATTGTAGGACCAGGGTTTGATTTTGGAGCTTTCCTTCTTCTAATTGGTTTGCATTCACTGCAGATTAAGAGTATCGTCTGCCCTACCTGTTGGTCCGCGGGTGGTATTTTATTTCCCACCTACCTATCAGTTAATGCTGGTGAGGGCTTTCCCCTATCCGCCACCTGGGGATGCGCTCTCTAGGAGTTACAGGCTCTCCCGAGAGCTATACTATTTATACTGAAATTTTACTATCTACTGTTTTAAAACTATTTACTTTTTCTTTTTTGGCAATTCTAAAACTATTAATTTTTATATATCTTATTATCTTATAGCTATTAATTGCATATGTTTCATTTATAATGTAAATTTCAACACCGCCAAAGACTAATCTTGTTGTGTCATGCATCTTTTGTAGCTACCTTCACTGCAACATTCTGTAGACTTCGTCCAAAATCCTATCTCTGGATATTGGTAGCTCAAATAAACTTACTGTAGCAGACTGCTTTCATTGAAAAATAATATATATATATATATATATATATATATATATATATATATATATATATATATATATATATATATACCCGGTATTTAGGCGACACACGCCCTTCCGGTAAGGATCTATGGAGGAGTATCACCGAGCCGCAAGCCCTTATCTCTTGCCGTACTGCTCCACCATAGGCCGATCAGACATCAGCATATTCTAGTCTAAGCCGCAGATTCATTTAGGATTTTAAACTGCTGCGTTAGCCTTTTTGTTTTCTGTACACCGAGCTGGGGATCGAACTCACATCTCTCGCATTGAAGCGAATGAGAAGCCAGCCGCCCAGCCCGCTTGGCTATCTGACCGATATTATATTCATTATTTTTTTTATCTTTATTGCCCTTTAATTACTAAGTACAATAAGCAAAATATCTAGGAAAAGGTAAGCACTAAAGTAAGAAAACAAATATTTTGATGAAATAAGAAAATATGAAACTGGAAATTTACATAGCATTGTAAAAGTCTTTAATATATTATGGTGATTATGTAGTTTTGTAGTTATTGGACATTTTTAGTCCTAGGTATTCAGAATTTAGTGTACTGAAAATATTCAGTGTTTCATGAACTACTTATTAAACAAGATCCAAATTAAGTATTGCTCTAAATGTGATGAAAATATGAAACCTTTAAGTTTTTAATAATTTATCAATAGTACATTAAATGTAAATGACCAAGGTACATGTATATCTGAAGATTTACAAAAAAAAATTTACAGATATTATACAACCTAATATACACACCCAATTTATGGTTTCCATGTAAGTAAAAAACTCATTATTTCAGGAAATAAACAATGGAGTAATTTAATCAAATCTAAATCAGCACCAGTTAATGTTGTTCGTTGGTATGACTTTATACATGCACAAGAAGCTGTTATGAACATTTTAAATAACTTACCCCAAGATGTAGCAGCTACTTTGACACAAGCAGAAAAGCATCTTAATCATGAAAAAAATAATAATGTTGGTAATAGAAATCAGGAGGGAAAATTTGTTGATTTGCCTTTTGCAGAAATGGGTAAAGTTGTTGTCAGGTTTCCACCAGAAGCATCAGGGTAGGTACCCATAGAGATGATCACTGTTAATTATAATACATCAACATAATACTTGTTGTAAAGTCTTGAGTTAATTTCACAATTATCTCTTTTATTTAATACGTAGAAAGTTAAATTTGACTTTTTGTACCTTATTCTTAACCCTGCAGTTGTGATGTGAAAAAAGTTACACCAGTCATGACCACTGTCTTTCAAAATGTGTTTATGTTTTAGCCTTTTATTTGGAGATAAAAAAACAAATATGTTTTTTTTTCTTTTTTAAAATACCTATTTATTAAGTATACATAATAATATGTGGAACACCTTAATTAATGATTTAATGATTAGAATGTTTTAAACATGCCAATAATTTATAATTGGAAAAAATAAAACTAGGTCATTTGATCTGTGTTTTATATGCACTTTGTTTGTTCTCATGTTTAAGGCTCAAAGATATTGTGTATTTGCTACAAGAGATTAAGTTTTTCGATTTTTTTTCCACTGACACATTATACCATCTGTAGCTCCTGTTTTCTGTAGTTCATGTTGTAAATTGGGTTCTGAGACACCAGTCAGTTCTTTTGACCCTCCAAACATATGTGCATGTGTCCGTTGATTGACAAGTGTATATAGGAAAGTTCTCTAAGGTATATTATCTTCTTCACTTTTGAAATTATAAATAATAGCTATTAATTCCTGATACATTTATTAGAGTGTAAAAAAGTACAATTGATCACCTTCTTGTATTTCTCGAGACATTATAATTCCCTGACATCATCTTTTTATGTTATAAAAAAAACTTACTTCTAACATAAAATATTAGGCGTGAGAAGTGACCAAGTGTGAGAGATCAGGTTTCGAAAACAGTAGCTGATATCGCACAGGTAAAAACTTGTCAGGAATTGAACACTCTACAAGCTGAAATGTTGACTCGAGTTAGGAAGTTACTGGGATAAGCAGCTTACACATTCTTTTGGTAAAAGAATTAACTTATTTGAAAATAAAGCGTAAGAGAAGAAAAATAATGTATTTTACAGTTTCAATAACTATTTTTTTATTTAATGATTTATATACCCTGTGTATGGTGTAGGAAATTTAAGAGTCAGTATTTCTTAAAAATGATTACTATAGTTTCTTAAGAACAAATAAAGTGAATAAGTGTAAAGTTTGACTTAATAATATGTAGCAAATCTTATACAACTTCTGTTAAAAAAATCGGTTGTCAGATCTTCAATTGTTTTGTCTGTCTGTAAATTATTGTGGTTTCTTCTATTGCAAGGTACCCCTTTATTGACAAGTATTGTATCCTCATATTTTGTAGGCTATAATACCTAGTTGCTGCAACTGTAGGTACTAAATCCAATTCAAACACTATTTATATTTAACATATTTTTATTATTCTGTCTATATATTTTTTATAGGGTTATTTGACATACTCAACAACAATGTAGTTACATGACAAAGAGGCGTTTACAATTTAAGCTTATGTTTATCATGTTTTTTGGAACATTTCAGGTTAGATCAGAACATAGTGGACAATTCATATGTAATTATAATTTTGAATTGTTTTTAATTCCCTGTGTTCGATTCTTCTCGATCGATGATGATAAAATAAAATGTTGGAGTCGTGGAGTAAAATATAGTTTTATTAACAGCTACTGAATTATTAGACTATAGTTGTTGACGTAAAAATTCATAATAGACTACGCCCCGAAGCTATATTTATAATTTCACTAAAATCCTACGATGCATCAATCCAGTGTGTTGCCCTCTGCATAGAACAAAAACCTTTGACTTTTAGCAGACTGAAGCAGGCAAATATAATTTGAACCGAGGAAATGATTTCAAGCATTTCTTCAATACCTATGAGGCAATCTATAGTTTGCAGGAAGTTGAACAAACTGTAATTAAGCTACTAATAGATATGTTTTACAAATATACACTGTGAAACTATAAAAATTCAGGAAATTAAGATTAATGTGAGATTTCAAATTAATGGACTAATTTGTGATTGAACATATTTTTCACTCTATAAGAACCAGACGACAAATAGAAAATATCTAAATACATTAAATATAAAATAATATTAATAGTTTAAAATAATCAACACTTCATAACATCCTAATACTAGTTTACACCTTTTTGAATTATCTCATCTGAGCAGTCATACCTATAACTTAAATATTTAGAATTTATGATTCAGTTATACTACCTAATTCAAATCTAAGTTAAATTAAATAAGTGAAACTGATCTAGGTGAGACTGTGGGATGTGGTTAAATGAGGAATCCACTGATTGTTGGCAATGGTTTTCCACATCTGTTCGGATATGTGTTGGTCCAACTGCTCTGCCTCAAGTACTATATTTGGCAACTCACCTCCCCGAATGTCTATATTATGTCGGGGATTGTTGATCTGTTTTATTATTGGCTTCTCCATAAGCTCTTCAATGGGGCTGACGGGAGTCTTTAAGTAACTTCCAATTGCCTTTTCCAATCCATTACTGGATGTGAGTAATGTTATGTTGCGGGTCTGAGCAACGCATTTTGGAGACAGATTTATAAATTTGATTTATATGTTCAGATCGAGAATCATCGCACATTATAGCTAAATTTATAGCGTATGGTGGAATGACTAGCCAGAGGTTCGGTGTGATTATTTTCAACCAACTGGCTTCCTTTATCATGTACTCTACTCTATTGCAGGTGGTGTTATCATATAATTTATTTAAGATACAGTTTGGCTGGATATTTATATTAATGATTGCCATAGGTGAACATGCCAACTCCCTTTGTTTAATTTTATGCACCTTTCTTTATCTTCATATGTCACTTCAAAATAGTGTAAATTATTATAATCTACTGCAATTGGTCATTGGGACCAATAACGTGCGAACAACGCCGCTTGTCACCAACAATAAAAGAGCTGTGACTCTTAGTAGCTTGTATCTAGTGTTGTCAATTATTCGGAAATAGCCAATAATGACGATGTCTCCTTCATTTTGTACAACCGTATATACTATTGGATGCCTTCTTATATTTACTCCCTGTGAAAGGAACTTTGTAGCATTCAACATAATTGACTCTATTTGTCTGGGTTTTATAATATCTATGAAGTGCCCATGATTTTAATGAAAATTTAATATTTTTCGTATGTGTTCGTATATTCTCTGCGTATTCCCTGCGTATGTACTCATTTTCTAATGTGTCAGCTCTATATGAGACATCACTTAGGCCTTTAGACATTTCATTGGTTCCTTTTATCGGAGCTTCTCGGAACCTATTTAAGTGTCCATTTATTCTTTCTTCTGTAGAATTAATTTAAGCTATTCAACGGACGAATCTGTCGTCCATTCATCATCTAAAATTCTTTTTTTTTTTTCTAGATGAGCTTTTATTCTAAATATCCCTCGATCTATGTATACATTGCTAAGATGCTCTGAATATAATAGGGGATGGGGTATAAATCTTGTACAAGTCATACTACGACTCTATTTGTCTTTCGAGAGGTGGACCTCATTATTGGTATCAACTTTTGTATAGGACGAGTAGCTACTTTTTTGTTCGCCTTTTGAACTGTTACGACTCTTAATATTGTTCTGAAGCTATTTTCTTGTGGCATTGTAAATTAATTACTATTTATAACTGGGAATAAGCCACAATTAAAGATAAAAATACGTTTATTGACGTTTCAATTTCCAATTCGGAAATCGTTCTCAAAATACAAACAGTAAATTAAACAAATTTTGTTTTTTGTTACATAGTGAAAAAATTCTTCTAATAATTTAATTTTATCTGACTCATTTATATTGACAATTCAGACATACATTATGCATTTTAAAGTAGACGACTTTAAAATGATATTGCCAATATTGTTGAGTTGCGCTCCTGGGACGACTTTACTTATAAGATAGTTCATTCGATTACATGAAATCAACTTTAACTTGAGAATATCCGTCAGAAAAAATCATAGCATGTAATTCGTCTTTAAAAAGACAAACACATGACATGATGACAGTAAAATTCTCCTGTTAGTGATTCCATAGTAAATTATGAGGGAAAAACCAGGAAAAAAACCTCATAATACTATCCTGACATTTTAAGTATTTGTTCGTGAATTTAAAAATAGAGAATTTGATAGATCTCAAATATGTAAACACGCATGGGATAATGAACATAGGGTTCAATGGAATAATTCAAATATAGTCCTAAAGAAACGGATGGTAAAAAAAGAAAAATCAAAGAAGCGGCTCTAATTATGCTAAATGAGGCCAATTGTGTCGCAAATTCCTCGGCAGAATGTAGTAGGATCTGGTTACCAATATTAAAAGAGGAAGTTATTAATAAGAAAATACCAGTATTAGTAAGTCAGTAACATATAGAGGATACATCATTTATGTTTTTTAAATAACGTAACATATAAAATCAGAATTTTGATGTTTGTTGAAGGTAAACTAAATTCACGAACAAATACTTACAATGTCGGGATAGTATTATGAGGTTTTTTTCCTGGTTTTTCCCTCATAATTTACTATGGAATCACTAACAGGAGAATTTTACTGTCATCATGTCATATGTTTGTCTTTTTAAAGACGAATTAAATTCTCAAGTTAAAGTTGATTTCATGTAATCGAATGAACTATCTTATAAGTAAAGTCGTCCCAGGAGCGCAACTCAACAATATTGGCAATATCATTTTAAAGTCGTCTACTTTAAAATGCATAATGTATGTCTGAATTGTCAATATAAATGAGTCAGATAAAATTAAATTATTAGAAGAATTTTTTCACTATGTAACAAAAAACAAAATTTGTTTAATTTACTGTTTGTATTTTGAGAACGATTTCCGAATTGGAAATTGAAACGTCAATAAACGTATTTTTATCTTTATTTGTGGCTTATTCCCAGTTATAAATAGTAATTATGTTACGACTCTTGTCAAACATTCGGCTCCGGGATGTGTTTCGATTATCTTCGCTAGTGGCCGTTTTCCCGGCCAAGTATTATTCTGCTTTATTATCAC